TTCCTTCAAAAACCCACACCTTGAAACAAATTTTCAAAGACAACCCGCCTCTGAAAACATTTTTCTTTTGCAGCAGCACAAAACTAGGTAAAATGTCACTGTTACGTATATCGCGTTACATGCACTATTAGTATATCAACACAGCTTTGATTCCTGAAAATATTTCCTTGACAACTAGCTTGAGCCTTGAAAATGTCAAAAAAGACCCCTTGCCCATTTTGACACATAATTTATAGACCCATCGTATGCCTCTTGGTAGGTTAGTACTAGCCCCTCTCACACCCCCACGGGGGAAACCCCAATCACGTAACCATAGTAGTAAGTCCGGGGTTACACTGATCGACGACAAGGTATACCTTATTGATGAATCACTGATCAACCAATTTATCGGGTGGAAGAGGAATAGTACAACGCGTAAGATTATAATGCATTCAAATATTGAAAAAGGGTGTTTCATGCGTTTCCAATAAACAATATCTACCATGGTCCGCTGCGTATGCATGCTTTCTTATCTGAATACGGAAGACAGTAAATAGTGACCTCTATTGATGACCAAAAGCCTTAATGGCAGGGGGCGCAATTCATGCGAGTAGCAGCATTTTTCAGTTTGTTTTATATTTACAATAATTATTGTGATTAACCAAAATATATGCGACAGGCAGTCATCGGAGGGCAAATATTCAAATGAAGGCAACGTACAAACATGTAATCTGTATTTTCATTCATAATTTTTGTAATTTTGAACACGTGAATAAAAGTACCAGAAACAATTATGATTACGTGTGTAGAGCCTCGTTTTCATTAAAGCAATATAGACGAGAACATTTAATTTAATTTTTGAAATTGTTTGTTACTGTATGTTGGTAAATACATTAGGGTTATTTTTCACCATTGCATGAACACGCCTTTCTTGTGGCACACATGTGAGTTTTCCTTCAAAGAAATACTGAAATTCTCTAGTACGCATGTGCATTGGCTGTGTCGGTACGTCAGTCAGTGCACATGCGCAGTAGTGTGTTTTGATTTTTCATCTAACGAACTCTGTTGTGTGTCCTCCAAACGCAACATGTTTAGTTCATTAAAAATCATAGTCTGATTCGGTCTGCATTACATACTGAGCCATGGGAATAGGCTCTTTTTTTAAAAATTCAAATATATGAATTTTGAAAAAATGAAGCCCATACTTACCTGGGTTTTTAATCAGATTGTGTATTGAGTATCGAACAATGAAATTATAAAATATATATTTTTGACCATGTTGCTTCTTTAATTATAATCTTAATCGTACAAATCGACATCGACTATAACAAATGAATTACTGGTACACTATTATTGCATATATAGTAACTTTTATTTCCATTAAAGTGAACAAACTGTTGTTTTTTTTCAGGAGGTACTGCTTAAAATGTGTACCATGCAAAAGAGTGTGTTCCTAACCCTAGTATTGGTCGGAATAGCAACCGTAATAGCCATTGAAATCGACCTCACCGAAAACGCTGAAGTGAACAATCCCTTTGATGACGTCACAGGCCTAGTCAAGAAAAAGAATGGTGCTTGCAACACCCCAAAATGTCAAAGTGGGAGATCCCGACAGCGCCAGCTACGACTCCTTCACGCCGAAGGGAAACCGTGTGGTCGATACTGTCAAAGTTGGAAACGGAGTGCGCTCGCTGGAGATACGGACCTACATGTCGATGGCGACGACAAAATAAGACGAGAATGGTACGACCAAGCTTTACAAAATTGTAAACCTTATTGCAACTGGTTAAAACGCAGATCTAGGAGCACGACTTGCAAGTGGCCATTTTGTGATAACAGTCAGTCTCCTGACATTGACGACGATGACAATAACAGCGACGACAACGACGGAAGAAGGGCGCTTATCGGTTTACCGTACTGTTTACCACTGTGTCAAGGGAGAAACTGAACCTCGGACAAAATGAACAGACCTTCAAAACATTTATATTTAATTTATACACAGAAATCCGAAGATTATGTCAATTAGTATCAATTTCCTTCTGAAAAATAACAAAAACAAAAAAAACAAAAAAAAAACAAGACTGTTCACTCTAATTTATTGTTTATTTACCATTTCCGATGTGTTCAGGGAGTTTGTTTTGAATCATTTCTAATTTGCTTCATTGAGCAAATGTGATAATGACGTCACGGTCCATTTTTCCAACAATTCATCGTATCACAGTATTCGCTAATAAACATTTAAAATGTCTTAGTGTGTCATTTTAGCAAGTTGTGTAGTGTTATAGCTGTATTTAACGATAATTAAACAAGTTTCATAATGAATAAATTAATATTATAGTATTTTAAATTTAGTAATTATACTGGAGAATGGTGGCAAGTCGGTGTTGCTAGGAGCTACAGAAGAGACATTTGTCATTTTACAATGTTTGAAATTGTAAATAGATTTGAGCTTTCAACTCAGCTAGATATGTTCAGCCTTGAATTTTCCGAATTATTTCGTATTATACCAAGTGTTGCTATGAAACAGGCGTCGCAAAAAGACCGCATTTAACGACAGTGTCGTGAACGTTGTAACACGAATGCACAATTGCTTAGTGCATTATCATCAATCCCTTGCTAGTTCAAAATGCCATCTACAACTTTGTCTCCGATTTCTTATATTACCCCCAATGTGCTTGCAGTCGTTGTGTGTATCACAATCACCTAGTAACATATATTTGGATAGACAATTTATTGTAACCGAAACTGGTATAGTTTTGTTATTTTATACTACAGTGGGAATCCATCTAAACTTACCACTTGGACAACCGTCGAGTTAGGTGAGCTTGAAAGTAATTGTGTATAAGTGGACAAAACTTCTGGCACCAGCGAATGAAAACAAATTATCGCTAGGAACAAATGGTTTTATCTTCTATCGGTAAAATATTTTAATTGTCAGTGTTTTAATTTATAACTAATTTATAAAAAATATTCTAGTCAGGCGTTCAAGTTTCAAACTCAGATGAAGTGCACATTGTATCCATGTTGTCATGTATAACCTGTATCCCCATAAATATAAATATACAATACTGCATTATTCAGCAAGCTCGTCGTTGTTTTTCTCCTTCCGGTGTGTACACTCTATGGAATACATGTGCAATATTGCATTTTAATGATCAAGGTCAACTACGCCACCAACGATGAACATAGCGTCGGTAGTTTCATAACCAGTGTTAGTTTCTAACAGGGTACCCTCAGAAAAACAACAACACTGTAGTTGCATTATTTTAGAATAATTATATCTTTAACATGACGACTGTAACACCGGGATTATCGACAAATTATTACCTAGATACATGTACATAATGATGTACTGTAAATTATATTATCTTCACTTAGAATCAATTTTCGCTCATGGGATAAATTAGTCAAAATAAAATCAACCTATGTTTTACATTCAACACATTAAAAATCACTGAAAATAACAAACTGCTACACAAAACAGCCAAAATATCTTTTCAGCGAATATTAATTCTAGCAAAAATAAAATATTTTACAGTATTCTGTGAATTGTCTAACTTTGGATGATATTGTTTAGAAAACATTTTACCGGACATTTATCCTCAACTCACCTTTCATATTTTTCCAAATGAACAGAGACACGCGGTCCCGGTGTGGTACTGGAGAACACCTGTGAAAGTTTGTTTATGGAATGACGTTCATTTCACCACAAATGCAGAGTGTGAATAAAACACTTTCAACCAGGTTTCATTTTGTTGTAAAATTTGATATGATATTAATACTATCGTTAAGGGAGTAATTTACGAGATGCATGTTAGCAATCAACTGTCATTGCCTTGGTTACATATATTTGTGGAATAAGACATCTGAATAGACGAGAAATCGATTAGGAAAAAACATATTATCATGATTAAATACGAGTCAATAATAGCCATTCGCTGGTTTCCGGTGCCCCTTGCGAGTGGCAAGGAGAACGCAAGTAACTAGTAATCGCCCCGGGTAATCGCCATATTGTTTATTATCGCCACTGGACGGGATTTCGGCCCCAAAGTGACAGAATGACGTAATTTGAAAACATTCCAAGTTCTGTTGTACGTAAACGTGTCTGTGATACTACAATAATTTCAACTTCGAACAGTTAATTCTAACATTTCTCGCCTTTTTTGTGCAAAGTTAAAAAGAAAAACAATTTATATTCATGCAACTTTTGAGAGCATGGGAAATCCCTGCTTTATACATGGAATGACCACAACGGGTAAGCGCTGACGTCAGGTAACCAAGGGGAAAAAGAACAAAAAACGAGAACGTGATGGACCAACCAGAATCCTGGATCATTGCGAGTTACCCGGCCTCTTGTGGCTTGGCGCTCCATGACACTTGAGGCGGGAACCAGCCAATAATAGCCATTGAGTTAGTTTTTTTAGATGGGATTATTTGGCGAAAAAAGAAAAATCTTCAACTCGTTGCCGAAATCGAAAATAGCCAATTTATTCGCAAAACGTTTTCTGTTGCCAAAGTTATCGAAGTACCTCGAGGTATAGCTTGACATTTCGAGATGCAATAGCTATTAAATGTGATGGTTAGTCCACGCACACTGTTAATACGAATGACTATTATGTATTTTGATGATCCAGGGTATAACGCCCTCAACGAATAACAGTGATGTTTATTAATTTTATATAGCTATATTAGTGAGAACGGAGGTGGGGGGCACTCGAACACATATACAGTACTCTGACAGGAGTCATCAATTGTAATATTATTAATGACATTATAATAATAAATATGATACGTGTATAAATATCTATAAAATATGTTCAAATAACTACATCCACTTTATAATAACACAAAATACATACTTCACGGGCGGCAGCGCCCCATGCTTCGACTAATACAATTCCTTTCAATTTTCTTAAATAAATTTAATAATTCAATATTGGACATTTGAAATAAATTTTTCTTGTTTTTTCTAAACATGTTCTATATTTTCCAACATGTTATACGCCTCCACGAGGCTACAGCCGTATGATATACATAACGAATATTATGTAATGTTTCTGCAACTTCGAGTTATGTTCAGCTTGCGGAGCTGTCGTTGTTAACCGGAATGTTTGAGTTGTTGTTGTTGTTGTTATCGATTGGTGTCGGGGCTGGAAGAATGCTTACATTTCTCGACGGCAATACTTGGACTACAGAGGGCGCTCCAGTGTAGGATATCATCATTGGTGGCGGCATTTCCTCAACACTGAAGTACTTCATTCCTACAAAAACGAAAAGATAGTTATTTATTCTATGTACAATTAAAAATAATGCATTCACGTAATTTCATTTTTCAAAACAGGGGAATAAATACGGTTGTGCTACCACAATGAGACACAATATTGCTCTACGGAATCAAGTGCACAGAAAAAAAGTTTCAGAGGCGTACATTTCCGTGCACAGTTTTCCAGCGAGTTGAACCCAGAATAAATAACGACCCGTCCCTAACGTAACCCCGATGAAGAGACTATAAACAACAATGAGGTGGTGTTTTTAACATTTCGTCGATCGTTTACAAACTAAAATAGGACTGTGCGTAAAACAAGAAGTCAATGCCTACCTTCTTGGCGCGACTGTAGCTGAGGTACCACGTGACCCGTTGCTGACGTAGTCGGTTTGCGCAGAATCATTTCAAGTTTATGCATATAAGATATAGCACATCGTAACGTTTCCACTTTGCTCATTTTAAAAACTCTCTTACCGGTATGTTCGGTCTTCATGAGGAGGTCCTTTGGCAAGACACTACGAAGCAAATCAAATGCACTGTTTAATTTATTGACCCGTATCCTTTCCCGTGCATTGGCTTTTCGGCGAACGAATTCTTTGCTGTCAGTCTCCGGCGAACTCCCCTTATTAGAAGGCATTCTGTGTGTTTCCTTAAGCAGTAACCTCAAGGGCGTTTTCTTCCGACGTCGGCTAACGCGGCAGCGTAGACGCTGTTGTGGGCGTATCGTCGTATTTGGAGGTCGGGCGTTCAGTAGTGTCTGTGACGATATAGGACGTTGGATTTGTACAGGGATGCACTGGACTGGGGCACCTGATTCGGTGATGGAGGTTGCCATGACAACATTAGGAGCTGACAAAGTCGTCGGTGGCATTGGTGCGATTGGTGGAAGGAAGGACTGCGACTGACTAATATAGGTCGGATTCAGTGATATGTTGGAAGACGTCGTCGTGGTAACCGGGGCGGAGGGAGTCGTCATCATGCTGTTGGTGATTTGCAATGAGTTGACAGGCAAAATGTTTTGAAACTGATTACAAAACGAGTTATTCTGCTGTATTTGCTGAAAAGTTGGTGGTATGTTCACAGGATTGTTGCTCTGTATGACGTCATTACACCTTAATGGTATGAAATCGGCAGTCGGTCCACGACGACTTGCAGTATGAGATGGTGGCAGGTTCGTGACGTTAGAGGGCGATATAGCAAGTGGAATACCCTGAACCGATGACTTTGGCCGAATTGGGCGCAGGCTACTCAGTATAGCAGTTTTCGAGTCCAAATGAGTTTTTCGTTTAGCCGAAAAATTTTGAGATGGCGGGCGGAGGGTGCGTACGATCGGTGGAGGCGTATGAATGCAATTGCATTCCTCCATCCCTGGTGGCGTTCCCTTGGTAACTGGGGGTGTTTTGCCATCTACGTCATCAGAATAGGCTTGCTCACGTTCAGAAATGACGTCAACACTTGCAAATCCGACTGCAATATCACCATTATATTCCCCAGGGTTCTCAGCACTACTCTGGATTGTAATAGAATCATCAACATTCTCGGAAACGCGATCATTTTCGCAATGTTCACTCGCAGGGGTTGGTTCATCTGGTATTGTTTCGTATATGACTGGTCGGCACGGTACATTGCAGTTATCGCCTGTCGCAGATGAATGAAGAAAGTGGTTATATACACTGATGCTTGTGCCAGGTAAACTTGGGATATAGCTTGAATGCACAAGTGACGGCGCATTTTGAGTTTGTACACGAGAACCAAGTATATTTGATGCATTTGGCCTAACTACAACGTTATTCGAAGACTGCAGAATTGTTTGGTGGTCAAACACTGGTCTGGAATTCAGATATCCACCTGCTTGTATGGCTCCAGTTGCTGTGGCACATGGCCGCGCCAACAACCCACGTGGTTGAACTTGTCGGGGAACCAACAACTGCGGCTGGCTTGGATAGATGGAGCGTGGTTGGTACGTCTGTCTGCCACCACATTGTAGAACGCCATAGTCTTGTGGAAGCGGTAATAGGTATGGTCTTGTGAAGAGCGAATTGGAGTTTAGTTGGGGAGCCGGAAACATGTTTTGAAATCCGACGACACATGGGTTGACCCCAGGATACGCCGTGTAAGTCTGTTGCGCAGCTGCCCGGGGAACAAAGTTGTCCATCTTGTGCTCAAGGTGTTCGCAAAGAGTGACAGTAAAGCACGTGTCAGTATGCTAAAATCTGTGACGTTTGCACCCATCGCCGTTGAATTTACATAAATGAATAGATTATTTTCGTTCTAAACACCTGGGCCATTTTTTCAGAAACAACAACGTAATGTGAATAATCATCGATGGTGAATTGCAGTTATGTTCTTTAAAAAAGCTTGAAATGCTAGTGTCATAATACTTATCAATTTGATGAAACGAGATTTACATACCAGTGGCCATGCCAATTTCATTGATGATGGCACAGGTGCTAATCTCGTGACTGAGATAATTACCGTCTGCTTACGTGATGAGATTCACGTCCAAAATGCCCACCTGACAGCAAACTTGAAGTCTGGTTGTCATATCCACCTGACAACTAACTATAGGTATAGTTTTCTTGTAATAAAAAATAAATGTCTCGCAGAATAACATTAAATGGATTTTCACGGCGAAATAGTCCCGGAAGGAGTGTCATTTGACAAGCTTGAAAATCCGTCAACGTGGGAACGTAGTCTGTTACCATGTTACCATGTTACCATATTTGCATATTTTTTTTATTTCACAGCCTCGTTCTCGACACGGAATTTTAAGATTATTGCAGTAGCTAGTGAATCTTAAAATTACAAATGTCGACAAAAATATCAAGAATTCAGCGAGACATGTCACAGAGTGATCTTCAAGTGTATCATGGGAAGAAATTATTTGGTAAAAATGAACTACTGAGGTATAATTGAAATTATTTGTTGTGAAATCATTAAAACGACTTTTTTAATATTTCCAGCCGAAATCGTAATTCGTTATAATCCATTTTGACAGTTTCCCATGCCTTTACTTTTGCGATAATTGTACACAAATTAATGTACGGCTACTAAGAGTTCAGTCTCAATTCACATAAATTCACCGTGACACCGTGTTTTGATTGGCCAACAAACAGTCAGAGAGCAGTGTATTTGTTGACGGGCTTTTCGACATTCTGCCGAATACATATCTTCGATTCAACTGACATTTCATGGCACCGTTTGGGAGATATTATGTCATTTCAATAATTTCTTTAGTTATTTTTCCAAATGTAGATTTTTTTTGTAAAATGTGGAAACAAATTATGTAAGTTTGTTCCATAAAAAATGACAAATAATGATGACCTTGGCGTTCAAAGCGGGTAATGTACTGAATCACTCTACTGTATGCTCTGATTACTAACTTGGTGATGTCTGGTACTCAATGTTTATTTCAAAGCCAAAATATAAATATCTGCGAAACATTAACAAAGTATTGCAAAACTATATGAACATCTTCCAATTACTCAAAAGGAAGCAGAAGTTGACTTTTGTTTTATTTATATGGTGGTGGTCGTCGTGAAGCGACAATGTATTTTACACGCGTTGTGTACGTCGCTATGAGTCATATATCGCGGTGCGATGACTAGATGTCATGGTTTCTCACTTGTGCGTTTGCGGCCATGTTCCCGTTGTGTATTTTATATTAGGTTGTTAATTTGAAATTGGGGGGGGGGTATTAAATTAGCTCGTAAGATTTAAGTTGTTACAATTCATTCACTAAAGTTGCTCAGGCTGCAACGTAATAATGTATAATAATGAATTACATGGGGGAGTGTTGTTTAATGACGCGTCATTGCCGCGTTGTATTATGGTATTTGTGTATGAATAACGTCGGTTTTAGAGGCGGCTCCGACTACGGTCCTGTAAATCTTCTACCGGACTATACCACTCTGATAACGCATCAATATGCACAACAGTACTCGGGAGGGGGGCATTTACAACCCTTCGAACGACTTATCATGAATGCTATATCAAAAATGTATGGTATAACAAATTGTCAGCTGAAGCTTCTTCTGTTATTTAAGTATTCTGTTTTCATTTAGGTACAAACCGATGTTTTATTTTTTATCATTTCTTCTTTATTTACAATTTTTAAAACCATCCGTAATAAAATGTTGACAGGAAAAATACAATAAAGGAAAACAAAATAAACTATACTGCGAGGCGTTGTAGGTTAGGTACATAATCTTGAGAAATTTTGAAATCTACAAATCCGAGACCAATGCGAAGCGGAAAACAAAATTGTATTCAACCCCAACACCTAGCAGTCAGACCAGCTTGTTAGTTGATATTTTTTCGACGCATCAAATTTTATATATGCCCGAATAACAACAGCAGATGTTTGTCGTGTAATCGTATTTATGGAAGCTAAGTCGATGCCTACAAATTGTGTATAACAGAACACACTATCAAAGTTTGTCTAAAATTATGTTTTTGCATCAACAACAAAATAATACGTCCATAATCTGTTATATAATGTACTCCTACCGCGTGACACTCGTTTAATGTATATACATGTTCTTGCAAAACTCGGCATCATGTAAAAAAAAAATAGTATGGATATTATTTTTCTAGATATGTTATCTTTGTAAATGCACTGGGCCTGAGACCATTATGTTAAATATTTGACTAATATTTTTTTTCAATCATTTATACGCCGATTCAATACGACAGTCAACTGATCCCCATACTTGCATCAATGTACAGCAAGCTAAGTAGTCCCATAAGTGGAGAACACAAACAATCAAACATTGCGTGTCGAATGTCATGTAAAAAGTGCGGAAGTTAGATACTGTGTTTGTGGTCTAACTGCGATATTATGGCTTTGTCTCATCAACCCAATCTATCACAGGAGCAAGTTCGCAGTAAGTACTGTGTACTGTTTTTCTTCACAGGAACAACAACAATGCTGATTCGAGCTTTTCCGATCCCATCGCCTGTTTTGACGCAGTGGTCATAAAATACAGTGTTCTGCCCCCCTGGAGACGTGCCGCCATTTGGGGTTGTAATTGTTAGCTGTTTGGTCTAAAATGGGGTATAGATTTGCTTGCTTTTAGATCCAATACCACGTTTGCCTGTCTAGGACACATGCGCTGTGGTCTTGGATGGGGCCGGGCAGGGGTCTGTTTTTTTTTGTTTTTTTTTAAATTTCCATGTATTTACCCAAGCACAGTCCCTCTATCACGGACTGTGACCCAAGTTTTAATATTTTATTGATGAGTCCGGATGATGAGTCGTTTCAACCTATAACTGAATAAATTTAGTGACAATTTTCAGTCTGTCTCTGATGGGATATACAAAATCTCTATTTGGTTTATAATGGGGTATGGTTTTTGAGGTGAAAATAGTCTATGATGGGATCTGGGTTTTTACTTACTGGCCGGCGGCCACACACCCCTACCAAACTGAAAGGCCAGTGATATATTTCTCAAAATACAGGTTGATGTAAAAATTGTGTAAACAGACTTGGAATTATTTATTAATAGAAGGCATGCATGTGCATTATGCTTGTCTTTGGAAGTGATGTGTCGAGCATTGGATCCAATTATTATCAGATATAAATTTGAGTGAAAATAAATCACAGGCATTTACATTTTTTCATAAATACATTTATAAATTAAGGTATTTGCAAATTGGTTTTTGTCTTGTTTTAATGTAGCATTTGGGGAAAACAATTTAATACTGTAGAAATATTTTGCTTGGAATTTTCGCTGAAGGAATGATTATTGACAACTGATTGGCTGTTGTTATTTGGTTGTATATTTGAATGTATTCTGATTGTCTTTTTATAAATACATTTATAAACTAACGTTTGGGTATGTGTATGTTCACTATATTCAAGCAGTCTTTACTCTGGTTGTTTTGTTAGGCCTTCTAAAAGATGTTATAGCTGCATTTGATTCCCCAGAAAACATGATTAGAATGGATGAAGCACATGACAACGCTGGTAATGATATGATGAAAATGATGCAGATTGTGTTTCCCGTAGCAACGCAAATACAACAAGAGGTCATACAGAAATATGGTTTTACTCCTGATGGCGATGGTAAGAAGATTTAGTCACCTAATAGTCTTGATATTGTACTCTGAAAAAATTGTGAATATTTTGTTTTTGGCTACTGTAAAATGACTAATTTTCACTGGGTTTAAATTTCACTGATTTGGCATTTCAGGCAATATTCAGTGGGTTTTAAATTCACGATTTTATCATTTAGATAATGTGTTCTATGCTCAATTTTACATATTCACTGGGTTTTAATTTAGCACATTTTCTAAATTAAAACCCAGTGAATAACTAAATCTTTTACAGTAATAAATTAAGTTATTGTTACCTGCTTATCGGTCTTTGTAGATAAGAAAACTAATGAAAGAAGAAATTAAATGAATTGTCATCTATCAAATGTTACATTTTCATTCTATTTATAACTTTCTCTGTTATTGTCTAGTATTTAACATTGTATCTATCGCCTTTATGTTGAATTGATTCATCAACATGCTTGTTTGTACATTTCAATCATATTACTGTGAAATACTTTATTTTAGCTGGAATTAATTATCGCTGAAATAACTTTTTGGGTGTTTTATATGGAATTTAGTTTCACTGATTATTGTATGTGAAAGTTAAATGTGAAATATTGGAAAAATAGTATATTCGCTGTATTTTATTTTCACTGAATCATTCCTTCAGCGAAAATTAATTTCAAGCAAAAATAAAGTATTTTACAGTATTCAATTTATCAATTCAACTTTCAAAACTATTATATGGGATTATGGGATTTTCTTGTTTCTGCTTTTCAGGAGCTATCAAGTTCGCACAGTCGATTCGTCAGTATGAGAATTTAGACTCTGAAATATCCCAGATGGGCGCAAAGTTGAAATCAATGTTTTTACCTCCAATGCCACAGATGACAAGTTTTTCAGCGGTAGATGCATCATCAACAACTTCACTTTCACAACAACCATTAGTCGCAATACCGCCATTATCAGAAAGAGCTCGCAGTGCTGATGTCTGACCTATAAGATGATATCATGTGGGCAGTGCGCCCTCTAACAGGACTTACTTTGTAGGGATACTGAGTCAAACTGGTGTCTTTTAAAATCATGATAAGCTGCGGAGGTCAGTCTTCGAGTAAAAACAAAAATGGTATGTGACAGTATAGTTGAAACACCAGCAAAAATGTTGTTCCGTTCATTTTCGCTTTCATTTTGTCTATAAACGTGAATTTCATTTTACCAAATTACAAACTCTATAGTGAGATTATCAAGATTGTGTTGTGTCAGTGACAGGCCAGTGAATTAGTCCAGTGGCTCATCTTAGACTTAGAGGGCACACTACATTGTTATGTGCTTTGAGTTCTTCATGTTAAAATACTATAATAATAGTATAATAATAATATAATAGTATGAGGTGCATCTAAAATGTAGGCGCATACATGCCAACATTCTTTAAGTGTAATAACCTAAAACTTCTAGTTTGTATATTTTTATACAGATTGCCCGCTGTGAAAACCTCCTTGGATACCAAAATAAATAGGAATAAATGGTGTTGACAGGCTATGCGTTTAGTTATATTTATTATTATTATACATCTGGCACCGTAACGGCATAAGTTACAGCGTGCCGTAATTTTGCGGGGTATTTTCATCCTTCCATATAAGGAAATGCGAATTCCAAATATGGAATGATTATGCACGTAAGCGTCCTCTAATAATAAAAACAAACATGGCTGCCATCGGGGTTTGACCAGACTTCACACACAAAGAAGTTCGCTGATTCTGTTCTAAACTTTTTTGGATTTCGGCATTCCCATGATGTACCATTGGAAGGAAAAGATGTATAATAATAAGGTTATTACGAAGATACCTCAAAGTATGTACTCAGACAGTATGCCGCGCATCGAACTCCACTGCGCGTCGACCGATACTCCAGCTGTACTGTCTTCGTGCATATTTTGAGGTATCCTCGTAATAACCTCATATTAGAACTAGTAAAGTATATTAATTATGTAAAGTATTGTTGATTAGTCATATTTAATCCTTTGAATGGGCCATTCCAGTTTATATCTGCACCCCCCTGTTGATGAGTTTGTGTGTTTACTTCATACAGGGTATAATTTCCATGGGTGTATAAGTCATACAAAGTTGTATTTCCAAATCACCATTCACCATACAGTAATGGAAATCCAAAACTATAGGTCCTACTTATGGTGTTGATGAGTTCCTTTGTGACACCATACATAGTAGTATTTCCAAATATAATTCTCATCATATGCTTAATTTACCAAGTTAAAAATTTTATATCTGATAATGGAAATCCAAACTAGTCCTGATTCACGGTGTTGATGAGCTCATTCGTCCCACCATCATTATCTATTTCATACTGGCCCAATACAGTCAGAATTCCAAGTTTTTTTAGTCATACAGTGTTGGAAATCCAACCTCATCAACCGGTATGTGGTGAGATAAACTAGGCCATATTTTATTTAGTAGCCATAACTGCCTGGATTTCCAGAATTTTTTTTTCCATACTTCTAGATTCTGTTTCTCCATATACAGTTGGAAATCCTGGGTATTTTCCCCATCATACAGTGCTGGAAATCCGACCTCATTAACAGGGGGGGTGCAGATATAAACTGGAATGGCCCAATGCAATTTCGAATTTTAGTCACCTTTTTTCAAAATTCATTCACGTTACCTTTTTTCATGTTTTTTTTCAAATATTTTGATTAAGAATTATGTTCATTTACTCCGAAATACAGTATGTCAATATTTTTGTTTTCTAGTATTTTTAAATAAATATTTGTAGCTGCTTTGAGTGTTACTGTGGCATGAATTAAGGCATGAATAGGTGACAGAAATTGGGAAATTTCTGTTAGAGGCCGCTGCTTATTGTGCTACTTATTTGAATTTCATGAAAAAGGGTGGGTGGTCGTCGCGCAGCGCGCATTCAATATCACGTAAACAATGTAAAATACATTGTTTATTTACACCAAATTCGGACATGCACTGTGCGACGACCACCATGCTTTAAAGGGTGGTAGTCGTCGCGCCACACATGCGCGAGATATATGGGTCTCGTACATACAAAGATGGCGGCTTTCACTGTTGTGCAGATCAACGAGTAGAAACTGAGACGTTGCCAAGCTTTAATCAGGTATTTTTAGGTGATTTGAAGGTATCGAAGGAGTCAGCGGTGGTAATTAGTGCAAGTCGCGCCCATATCAAACCTCATACTTGTGATTTTCATTAGAAGAGCTCATTGGATTGTGGGAAAATCTATGTAATCAGCTATTCGTCCGTAATTTGTCGGCAAAGGTCTTATTTTTTGTAAGCGTATAAAGCATTTTCAACATCAAATGTCATAATTCGTACGCAATTTCCAGTTTTGATTCTTAAACACAAATTATCAAGTATATTATAAGAATGTAATTAGGAATTTGCTTTATCTGTAAAGTGTAAAAACTATTTGTTATTGTAAATGGAACTTTTCTTTTTATTTCTTGTAAAAACGTAAAATGCATTTTGTATATCCTGTAATCTGTACCAGCTACCCCCTAGCCTCCTCATTATTACATAGGTAGAGCTGTTCGTTTAAAAATGGAACGCGATTAACTGCATTATAATACTGGCCGTGCTTATTATTATGCAAATTGATACAGTTGCGCTAAAAAAAAAACATTTGGTAAAGCCCAGAGGCAATATAATTTTCTGCGAAATTGACAACATTTTCAATTATGAACGGCTGTACATGTTCATACTATCGTCGCTTGCAATGTATCAGTTAAAATAAACGGTTATTACATCCATACATTTACGGAGATAATGAGTCTTCAACTCTGGGCTCGTCGGCCCGATGCAATGTTACTTTGGAAAACGCATAATAAGGCCAAAAAAAAAAAAAAATTGTTTTGAAATATCGGGTCGCGATTTATTTCTTTAATATGCCCAAATATTAAAAACTCACCATTTTAAGTAGTAAAAAAGTGTTTCCTCTAAAAATGTACGTTCCCAGACCGTTGTTTGGTCTCCAGAGTTCCCTGGGGGGGGGGGGATAAGTGGCGACTTTGAACCTCGAGTTGATCTGTATTTAAATACAAAAGACTGAATGAAACACTTTGATTTTTGTGTTTAATATCTAGCATGCGTTTGATTGATTCCCATATACCTCAGATATTTACGATACCCTTAGTTTTCACGAGTTTAAAAAAAGAAAAATCCGACCGATCGACCGATATTTCAATTTTCCGACTTGAGGGCAACATAAGTTTTTTTTTTGGCCTAATATATGCCCGACGTTGATGGCGCTGCTTTTTCCAGAAAAGCTCAATTGATGTATGCGCACGCTAGGA